ATATGCCTTTTCTAAGTCAATGAACACAAAATGCACATCCTTTTTAGTGTCTCTATACTTCTCTACAACTTGTCTAAGAAGATAAATGGCCTCAGCTGTTGAGCTTCCATGCATAAAACCAAATTGATTCTCCGAAATTTTCACACTTTTACGAAGTCTTTGCTCAACCACTCGCTCCCAAAGTTTCATAGTGTGACTCATAAGCTTAATCTCTCGATAATTAACACATTCTTGTACATCGCCCTTATTTTTAAATAAAGGAATGAGAGTACTCTTCTGCCAACTCATTGGCATTTTGTTGTTTCTCCAAATCACGTTGAAGAAACCTGTTAACCACTTGATGCCTTTATCTCCTAAACTTCTCCAAGCCTCGATCGGTATGCCATCTGGGCCCACTGCTTTCTTCCACCCCATCTTTCTTATAGCCTCTTTAACTTCTTTTGTTTGAATCCTTCTCACGAAGTCCCGATTTACCATACACTCTGGTATAGTAAGATCATCAATACCTTGCACTTTATTCCCGTTAAACAAGGTATCAAAGTATGACCTCCACCTCGCTTTTATTTCTTCGTCCTCCATTAGTACCCTTTGATCGACATCCTTCACACACTTAACTTTTCCAATATCTTGAGTCCTACGATCACGAAGGCGAGCAAGTATGTAGATATTTTTTTCTCTTTCCTTAGAGTCCAACTTTACATGCAATTCCTTGTTCACTTGTCCTATGGCTTCCTTCACAACTTTCTTTGCTCTTCTTCTAGCCTCCTTGTACTCCTCTACGTTGTCTTCGCTCCAACTCTTGCCCAATTTTTTATAGCATTCCCTTTTGGTCCTTATTGCTTGTTTCACTTCATCATTCCACCAAGATGTGTCCTTTTTTGTGGCAGACATCCTTTAGATTCTCTGAGTATCTCCTTCGTCACTTTGTTAATGGTGGACTCCATTGATAACCACACATCATCCACATGTGCGTCATTATTAATAGACCATACATCTTCCTCCGACATTTTGTGTGCAAAACTTTGTTGGATATTCCCCTCGAGCCTCCACCATTTTATCTTTGGCTCCCCTTGTACATTAACTCGCCTCCTCTTTTTACCTTGAAAATCAAGCACAAGCATCCTATGCTGGGTGACATCGCTCTCACATGGGATAACCTTACCATCAGTGTAGCTAGTTCTCCAAGTCGCCTGTACTAAAAAGTAGTCAATTTGGGTACTATTAGCTCCACTTCTACAGGTGACAAGGTGAGAGTCTCTTTTCTTGAACCGAATGTTCATCATAGCCAACTCATATGTCGAGGCAAAATCTAGAATGTTCTTTCCCGCTTCATTTCTAGTGCCAAAACCATGTCCGCCATGGATACTCTCAAAACCATCACGACTTGGGCCCACATGCCCGTTGAGGTCGCCTCCTATGATCAGCTTCTCTCCTTTTGGCACTCGTCGCACCACTTCCTCAAGATCATATTAAAATTGTGGAGTGATAGATGCACCCAATCCCACTTGTGGTGCACAGGCACTTACCACAAACACAATCTCATCTCCTGTTATCAACTTAATACTCATGATGCGATCGTTCTTCCTAAAGACTTCAACCACACCCTCAACATAATCATGTGCCACCATAATGCCTACTCCATTCATGTTCTTCTCTCTCCCCAAGTACCATAACTTAAAACCTCCGGGATTAATCTCATGTGCCTTTTCTCCAACCCTCTTAGTTTCTTGCTTGCACATTATGCTGATATTTCTCCTATTCATAACCTCGGCTATCTCAGATGATCTTCCCGCAAGAGAGCCAACATTCCATGTCCCAACACGCAATCTAGCACCCTGCCTTCTCTTCTTCACACCACATCGACCCCTACCGTGCCCTTGCATATTTGACACCATCCCCGGGCATTGGAGTGGCGCGTCGCTTCTGGGCGATGACCTAGCAGCCTTAGCATTTTTATCACCACACCCAGGCCTATGAAGTGTAGCGCGCCCTTGCTCATTTGACACCGCCCCAGACGGAGGGATGACACGTCGCTTACGGGCGACGACCTAGCTGTAGCGATATTCATATTTTGAGCGGGAAATATCTTCTCTCATATGTGCTGATTTTAGGTATAATAAGAAGATAGATAGACTAGAAATTGATCGAGAGAATTTCTTCTCTTATATTTACTATCTCATGACCTTTTAAACGTATGAGAAGACATTTTTCTATAATTATCACCTATGTCATGACAATCAATAAATATCGAGCTCTATCACTGGAAAAAGATGAAATGTTCCTGCATAGATGTATGCGGTGTTTTTAGTATAAGATAAGATAAGCAGACTAATAAATGAGTTGAGAAATTTTCTCTCTCAGACGTATTGCTCTTAGGTATAAGATAAGATGAACGGATCAATAATTGAGCGAGAGATTTTTTACTCATATGTAGTGCTTTTAGATATAAGATCAACATGCTAATAATTAATCGGGAGAATTTTCTAACTATATGTAGTGTTTTTATGTATAAGATAAGATAAGCGGACCAATAATTGAGAGGGAGAAATTTATCTCTCACAAGAAGTGCTTTTAGGTATAAGAAATAATCGAACTAATAATTGAAATGGAGAATTTTCTCACACATGTGTAGTGCGTTCAGGTATAAGAAGATAATTGGGCTAATAGTTGAACGAAATAATTTCATCTATCATATGGAGTGCGTTTAAGTATAGGAAGATTGTCAGAATTTTTTTTTTCTTTCATATGTAGTGCTTTTTGGTATAAAATACGCGTACTGATAAATGAGCGGAAAAATTTTCTCCCTCATATGTAGTCTTTTAGGTATAAGATAAATAGACTAATAATTGAGCGGGATAATTTTTCCTCATAAGTAGTGTTTTTAGGTATACTCAATAAACCGACTAATAATTGAGCATGGACATTTTCTCTTACATATGTAGTGCTTTTAGATATATATGAAAATAAGTGTGTTGATAACTGAGCGGGAGAATTTTCGCTCACATACGTAGTGCTAAGATAAGATGAGGTATGCGGACTAATAATTGAGCGGGAAAATTTCTCTCTCATATATACTGCTTTTAGGTATAAGAAGCTAAACAGGCTAATAATTGATCGAGAGAATTTTCTCTCACATTTTCCCTCTCATGACTTTTTAATCGTTTGAGAAGACACTTTTCTGTAATTATCACCTATGTCATAACAATGAATAGATATCAACCTCTATCACTTGAAAAATATGAACTATTCCTGTCTAGACGTATTTTAGTCATGTAAGGCTTTATATATGTGACATTATCGAGGTTTATGAAAAACATGGATTGATGATTTTAATATTGCTTACATGACAAGAAAACAAAATCATAAGACATTACCATTAAAAGTTCTCTTTAAAGTAGTTTTTTAAAATTCTAACAATTAAGTTCAATATTTCATTATCTGTTACCAACAATACTAATTATTATGTAGTACGTAGTATTACGTAACAAATTCTAATGGATGATGTCAGTTTTTTTATATTTTAATTTTTTTTTCTTTAAGTATTTGTTGTATGGATTTATACTTTTTTATATTCACTTATTGTATTCCATTTTTGAAATGATGTAAAATTGTAAATAAATATATCTTTATATTTAATTAGATCGTGAATAGAAGTATATATGGACCAATCGTTTTTTCCCCGTGTGTATGCACGGGTACTGTGCTAGTTTGCACAAAATTCAAAACATTTTTGGTAAATAGACTCTAATAGGACAATAACATAAGTTTGGCATGCGGATAGGACCTCTACCTTTTTGTACCCTAAATACGACCTATTATTAACTGAACGGACCAAGATAACCCCAAGCTCCTCAATTCCATTCTCGATCTAGCGTCTTCGCAATTCACCAAGCTTCACAGGTCCTTTGCTCATTCCGATCGCGATCCAAGCTCAGATTCACGGAGATTCTACACTTAATATTCCTCCCCAAATTCAAATGGCACTCGTCGAAGGGCAGAACGAAGCTCAGATCGAAGCTCATTCCAATCTCGCTTTCAGCTCATATCGAAACTCAGATTACTTGACGAAGGGCAGAGTTCCATTCGTCGACATCAATATGAGGCTAGAACTTCGATCAAACAAGTTTTGATCGATTTCCGACTGGATTCCGACAAATTTAGTTTCTTTGAAGATATCTTCTCTGCAAAATACCGGAGACCCGTGGATGTCGGATTTCCGACAAAATCTTGTTGTTATCTGGTGTGTATTTGTATTATAACGTTTATTTGTACAATTATATTTATTGTTCAATGTCATCATAGTGCAAACATTCATACATTCACAGAATACATGTATCTGTATTAAGATTTGTTTGTACAATTCTGTTTTATAAAACATTGACATTGTTTTATAAAGGTACAATGTCAAATTTAACAAAACCAATGAAAAATATAACAATGAATGTACCAATGTCATATTATAAATGATTTTTTTTACAATGATAGTACCAATGTAATATTATCAAAAGCAATGGCATAATTACTACATAAGCAAAATTGGTACAAATGTTACAATGTCATACAAACAACGTTACACTTTCATAATTGAAATTAAAGCAATTTATTAATCATACTAAATATTGACATTGTCATTAAAAATAACAAATGTCATTGACAATGTTTTAATATTAAATGAAAAAGAATGTCTATATTTAATCAAAATGTTCAATGTCATGCAAATGTCACCACTAACTGACAATGTCATTAAAACTGTCCAACAAATAAAAAACAAATAATTAATAACATATAAATTTTGAAAAAATTAAAACAACACATGGGGCGATTGTATGGGGCGGTTGCAACTTGTTGTTCTTAAAAAAAGCGCGGCCATCAATAGTCGAAATAGAAAACTGCATCCATCATTACATTCTCACAAAAGCGAAAGGTAGAGAGTCTAAGTTTGTAACTTTAGAAAAGTGAACAACACAGTTTCGTCGTGCGCAACTCCAAAAAGTGTAGTCCAGAGTCTCATTTCGAAGAAAGTCGCGAGGAAGTTGTAGAAGATAACCAAACACCGGTACGTCGTTTGCTATATTTTTCTTTTATTTTGATTATATTTTTCTCAAATAAATTGAAATATATGTTCATATCGTAGTTTTTTCCAGTGACATTGTTATCACTGTTTACATTTTTTTTATCTCAAACGAGAATACTGTTTTAAAAGCTAGGGTTCTGTGAACATAGACATTTTTAAATTTACTTTAAACTTGTTCTATTGCAATCATGAAGTGATATGAACGTAACAATGTTAACACAATGTATGTGGTTTTGATTAAATTTGTTGATCTTCTGGTTGCATGTGTAAATAAATGTTCTAGGATATGGTTTCATTTATATAACGATAATGCATTGTAAATATCTAGGGTTATATGCATGTGTTCATATTAAATTTAACTTAGAATTAATAAAATGTCATTTCTTAGTTTTATGGACATATCAATGTCAACACAATGCTTCTAGTTATGATTAAGTAACTTGTATTTCTTCTACTCTCATGTGTAATTAAACGGTCCAGGTTATAAAAAGGTTGTGCCATGAAGAAAATATTAGAAGTTCTGTTGACAAGAGACTGGATATTTACTGCAATGTAAACTATGTTGTTGAATTGATTGGGAAGAGACTGAATGATGATGAGCTGAACAAGTTCAAAACAACAACATTCGGAAGCATTGTTGAAACTCCCGATGTGAAATGGATAAGTGGACAATTGTTGATATGCCTTGTTGGAAGCCATGTAACTGAAGTAAATGACAATGTCATTAAGGGCATGCTTCTATTCCACATACAAAACAGGCTTGTGAGTTTCACAAAAAGAGGATTTTGTTATCATAACTAGTCTACGGTTGGAAGGAGCAAAAGATATTGAAGACTTTGAAGAAGGTGACATTTGGACCAGATACTTCCAAAAATATAAGAAGAGGTCACTGCATAGAGGTGATATTGCAAATGCATTCAAAAACTTCAACAAAGAGGACATGACAGCACAAACAGATGATGGGATAAAACTGGCCCTATTGGATGTTTTATCAAACCTGTTTCTGGGGAATCAATCATCCTGTTTCTAGAGAATCAGTCGTCCATTTCCATGCCACTTGCTTATGCACATTTGCTCAATGATTTGGACATATTTATTTCATATGCATGGGGTGAGGAGGTGTGGAAGGATCTGGTTGATAATGTTGGAAAATGTGCAAAAAACATGGCAAAATCATACAAAGGAAGATATAATTTTCATGGGTATATTTTGCCATTCAGATTTGGGCATTTGAAACAGTTTTGGGCATTCAGATCATGGGTATGTCTTGCTCAAAAAGCCTTCTGCTAATAGTATTTCAAATACATTGTGTCCGAGGAGATTTTTGGCAATCAAAAGGCAATTACATTGACAAATATATCATTTATATTATCGAAAATGGTATTTCTTCACCAATGTCTTAAAAATGTCATTTGTAACAATTGTCATTGCCATTGACAATGGTATGACATTGACACTTGTGTAGCATTAACATACATGACAATGTCAATGACATAGCATTGTCAATGACATTGACATTTGCACGACATTGACAATGGGTTAACATTGTAAATGACATTGAAAACACATAATAACATTAATTTCCAACATTGTTAAAATAAATGAATGCATTTGAATATTTAATTTTCAAAGATATATCGTTTTGTTAACCAATGATAGTACAATCATTGAAGTTTGAGTTCTAGCCTATTGTTCCAACAACAATAGAGCTTGAAGATGCTAATATAGTAGATCTGTGGACAACCAGGAATGAAAATTGCAAAATGGATGTGAATGCAGTCGTGGAGAAGGTGATATATGAAAGTGACAACGATAGCAAGATTTAGTCTGGAATGGGTAAAAGAAGATCAAAGAGAGTACCCATAAAACCACCAAAATCTGAATTGAAGAAAGCCAATAGAACAATTGTTGTGAAAAGAAAAGCATCAAGAAGCAAGAAAGGTAAAGAGCTGTCACAAAGTGAATTGAAAAAAGCCAAAAGAAAAACTGTTGTGAACAAAAAAGCAACAAGAAGCAAGAAAGGTAGAGAGCAGTCAAAAAGTGAGAGTCAAAGCAACTTTGAAAAGGATCAGTTTCAAGATTTCAATGACATTGTTATTGCAAAAATTAATGTGCAGCAAAAGAAGTCTGATAGAATAATGAAAGAGATGGAGGGTATCAAAGATACTCTAAAGAAACATGATAAGATGTTTGAAAAGATACCATCGCTGCTTCTGAAGAAGGGGTATGAAGTAAAAGATAGTGGCAAGAGAGTGAACAGGAAGAGGATCGTACAATAAGTTGATCTTGATTAAATACACATTCAGATGATGACACAACAGAGGATGAGGCTTATCAGTCTGGGGATGAAGAATCTGATCAAGAACAAAAGAAAGTCAAAAAAGTAAATGTTGAGGAAGAGGACATTGGATTACTTCTAGGTATCTCACTATTGATCAATATCACTTATACATTAAGTATGTATTAGTGTTTATATTTTAAATTGAAGAATTCAACTGATAACTTTACGCATTATTATGTATAGGTGTGTGTGTGTGCATTAGTCCCCCTCTTTCATTTTGTAATTTTCTTATTTTTAATAAAACCTGGTAAATGTTCCTCGACATTTACCTCAACGATTTTGGTGGTTTGCCTACCGGGTAAAAAAAGTGTATAATAATTAGTTTGTATTTTTTATTTGAAGTATTATAACTAATCACTTTATGTATTTGTGTGTGTGTAATATTAAGAAATTTTAACTGGGTCGGGATCTTATGTAACATACCCAACCCGTTTATGAAAAATACTAATAGGTCCGGATCTGGGTATGGGTAAACGGAATAAAATATAGAACCGTACCAGTTAAAAAAAACCGGGTCCAGGTCGGCTCCGGGTCTAGACCCAACCCATTGACGGGCCTACATTTGGAATACATGTACCTGAAGATAATTTACAATAGCTTTTTATTAGGGCTTATTCCCTTAATATTACTAAGTTCAACTGAATTTTAAAAAAAAGTAAGTACTTTTAAAAATAGACAAAAAAGTGATTAACAAGGTCACACATTAGGAATTAGAAAACATTATGTCACTACAAAAAGTTTATGTCAATGTGTTCGTTTTTCTTGTCACTAATAGTTCTCAGTGTCAAATTTTTCACGCCAATTACGCCGCCACATCCACCGCCACAGTGACATCGTCATAGTGACGCCGCCACAGTAACGGTGCCACAAGCTACAGGGAAACCGTTACAATAACACTGCAGTCGGCACCACTCAATTACTGCCACTACACCACTTCATGCAGTGACCGCCGCCCAGCCCCGCCGGCCCCATGCCCCAACACGCCAGACTCATTGACCACCGCTCCTAACCCATTCCACTTGCTCAGGTGCCCACTGCCCCCGCCTGCACCCTCCCACCTAGCCCCAGCCCCTCCCTTTCCCTGTCACAACCCCATAAGTCCATAGCTCAGCCCAACCACGACCACCATTTCTCCCGCTCAAGCCCCAATCTACGCACCAGACCCCCACCTAATCCCCAACACCCTACTCCCCAGCCCCCTTTCAGACATCCATGACAGCGGATCCGGCACCGCTGCACCAAACCAGGGTCGACGTCACCGAGGTTGGCGGATCCAAAACCGGCGGCCCCAAATCGAGTCATCATCCACTGAAAAAGGCGGATCTGGCATCGGCGTCCCCAAATCGAACTCCGGCGGCCCCTACTGCCCCATCGACTGAACAGAAAGAGAAGAAATAGAAAATCCGGCGTGGAGTTCGCGAAGGAAACAACTGGGGAACGAACAACTGCCACGGTGGCGAGATCGGCGGCGTAGATGAGGTCAACGGAGGTTGGCGGAGGCCGATTGCGTAATTGATTGATGGGAGAGAGAAGTTGTGCGCCATAGAGGAAGGTCTCTGCGCAATTGCTACGGAAGGAGAGTGCAGTTTGTATACCATACATCCGGATGTACGGCTTGCACCGTACATGGGGGGCAATTTTGTAATTTTGATGAAAATCGCGATTTATCTGGAATGAGCATTAATGAAAGTTTTGTGAGCATCATGCCTATTCTTTTGAGTAACAGGAGCCTAAAAATGAGTATCGTGAAATCTGCTTCACATCTTCTAATGTAATTGTTTTATTTGTTTAAAAAAGATTTCTGAAATTATGTCTATAATCGATTTCAATTAAAAAAAATATGCGAATTTAATGTAGTAAAATAATTTCAAAATATGCATTATTGATATGACATTTTAAAATGGGCATACTATTACTACTAAATGAGCATACATAACTGTTGAGGTTTATTCCCCTCAACCCGCAGGCTCAACACGTAACCTGGGGGTTTCGAATGGGTGGAAGGCAAAACGAACTCGCTAAACAACGGGGAGTGGGTTAATACTGTATTTTATTCACTTTAACGATTACAAGTCAAAGGGCCGAATGTACTGAACTATGCTACGTGCTGCTGATGTTATTACAATTCTAGAGTGACGAAGCGCGAACCCTTTACAATGAAATAAATGCGACTATTTATAGTATCCCATGGTGGTTGGGGGCTAACGTGGCCGGCTGTGGGCGACATGATCCCAACTACCAAATCTCCCGCATTAAATGCGCTTCCCACCAAGATCTTGGTTTCCCGCCATAGCGTGGGGGACGTTCGTCCCCTAAACTGGACTCAACCCTTTGGTGACCACCTGGGCCCTTTAGTCCACAAGATGCTCGTCCCCTGGCCCTTGGGTCCTGAGGCTCGGTCCTCCGGAGGCTACGTACGTCCGCTAGCCCTTGGGCCTTGAGGCCTGGCTATGATGGGCTACGTACGTCCCCTAGCCCTTGGGCCTTGAGGCCTGGCTATGCTGGGCTACGTACGTCCTTTGGCCCTTGGACCCTGAGGCATGGCCATGCTGAGCTACGTACGTCCCCCGGAACTTGGATCGTGAGGCCTGGCTATGCTGGGCTACGCACGTCCCCTAGCCCTTGGGCCCTGAGGCTTGGCTATACTGGGCCACGTACGTCCCCTGGTTCTTGGGCTCTAGGGGTTGATGGGCCGGCCCTGGTAGACCATTAACCCAACACAAGTCCCCCACTTCTGATGTTCCGAGCATGCGCGGGACATAAAGAAGTAAGATAACTTCCGCCGTACCGCCTCGAGCCGTTGCTCCCTTTTCCTCTAGGTGACGGTTGCTTCCCGCCGTTATTCGCGGGGCTCTAGGTGCCAGCTATCTGGCCGGTTCAACTTCCCATGAAAAAGTAATCATTTCGTATCAGCCCGTCTCTACGCGACACGCGTCCCTGTATACGCTCCTTGCCACATGTCGCCCGCGGGTGGGTCGTTGATCCGGCGCCTCCCCTTATAAATACTAGGAATCTGGGAAGGGTTAGGGCTTTTCATCTGTTGTCTCCTCTTGCCTTCCCCACGCCGTTCAGTGATTATTTCGAGTTCCGGTGTTCTTTTCTCCCCCAAGCTTTTAGCAAGGTAATTTCCCAATCCCAACTTCTTCCTTTCTTTTCGTAAATCTCTTCATGGCCTGCTCCATGGAAATTTCTTCCTCTTCGGAAACTGGCTCTGGTTCTTCTTCCGGTTCTTCAGCTGGTTCATCTTCGACATCAGAACTCAGATCCCGTTCCTCGACAGAAGCGAGCGGTTCTGGCCGTTCCAGCGCTTCTTCGATGACAGTCCCCGACGCAGTGGCTGATGCCGCAATCCCGGTCGCAGGAGAACACGTTGACATGACCGTCGACCCTGAGAACGCCGTTGCGATGGTGGCACAACCTGCCGCGGCGGCGGGGCATCCCGTCGATCATGACTAGGGCGAGGAGGCTGAAGAAGGGGACGACCTCCGGATCTACAAGGTTGGCATCCCTATGG